GACCTGCTGAAGTGTGGATCTGCGTCGATGGTACATTAAAGAATCCACAAGGCATAATTTACCTCGGTATGATCCCTGAACATGAAACTGTCGGTGGAAAAACCGTGAGACACGTGATTTGTAACGGCAAGAACGAGCCGATTACTGCTAGAAAAGATCTTCCAGAGCTCAGCTCCTTCCTGCATCATCATCTGTCATCCACTTTGTCAACAACCTTTGTTGAGACCCATGGCTATGCACTATATGATGTGATGGGTGTATCAAATTTCAGTGCACAAGACAGGGAAAACAGTAGAATTACAGTTGAGTTAACATGGAGTGGTGTCAGTTCTCTTCTACAGACTCATCCTCATTCCTGCGATGGTGTTCTCCATATAAGGAACATTCCTGGCAGCGTTCATCTTGCAACACGTTCTCTGTATCTGGAATTGGTGCGAGTGGAAGCTTTCTTCAAGATATCAGGAGAAGAGGAATATTCTTGGCCACAACCTGCAGTTACCAGTGAAAAAACACTTGTTTCACAAATGGATGGATTCTTTGCCAAGCTTAATTCCAGTAACATATTTCCATCAGTGGTTGATGAAGAGGAGACCAAGGAGGATGCAGATGATTGCACTTTTGCTGAGGCATCAATGGCCCACCTGACGTTTCAAGAATTTGCCAGAAAGGATTTGGATTTCACTGAAAGACTTTGGCTTTTGCTGAAGGATTGTGTTGATGAAGATGATCTTGTTGGTTCATTGCAAATGTGTTGTGTGGCTCTGTTCAACAGCAAATGTCAACCTGTTGTCCACAGTTCTAACACAACTTCATTAGCAGTTTTTATCAGGGATTTACTGCAGTTTGAAACTAAAGAACAGTTAGAGAAACTTCAAACCAGGGCCAAGAAATTCTTATCTTCTGATTCTGCCATCCGATGCCTGGTAGAAATTGGCTGCGAAAAACTTGCAAGGGACTATACCCAATATTTTATCCAACAAGAGCTTGCCACCATGGGACAACTGGCCAACTATCTAGACAACAAAGCCCCACTGGGCACCCGAGTCTCTCACTTAACAAAGCTTCATCAAATACTAGAGCTGGTTGTCACTGCCAAATCAGTAACCAGACTTGGCCATGAAAATCCAAGATCCCTGACCCAAAGTGCTTTGATGTATTATCAGACACGGACAGACTCTGATTCCCAGCATCCCACTTTCTCACTGTCATTGCCTGCATTTGGATCTACCTCAGGAGCAGCTGTGAAGAGCATCTGGGCATCATCTAATCCAGCAGTTTGGTGTGTTTCCTTCAAGTCAAAAACAAAGACTGGAAATCACACCACAATGGTGCAATTAAGCACAAGTCACCCAGGCAGCGGAATTTCTGTAAGCCCTGTGTATGATGTCTCTGAAGTGAATGATGAAGACTTTGATTCAGACAAGGAGAAATTTCAGTATTTTCTGACCTGTGCTAAGCAGGTGACAATGCCAGTTGTGTAACAACCTTGCCAATGGAAAGAACTGAACACATTGTCCATTCTCAGAAGTTGTTAAACAAATTGATGAACATTTTGTCAGAATGTTCATGGTATGCACCTCTAGTTACAGAGTCTGAATTTATATAATTGGAATTGCTGTAGCTGAAAGAAATGTGGGCATTCAAATTTCCTGTTTTACCTGTCAACTCCCTTGATCTGTTCATAGATTTACTTCAAACTTCTATATGTCTCCTTCGTAAAATTGTTCTATTAAGAAAGTTTAGTGTTATGATCATAACAGACTAGCAGATAATGTCACATATTCTCATCACCCATTTGGAAGATATTGTTTTGAAATGACATGGAAAAGTTAGAGGTCGATAACTTTTGAAGGTTAAAGTTGTTGTTGCTCCATCTTTAGGGCAAAAATTGCATTCAATAAATTTTTGTTCAAACTGAATATTGGAAAGGACATTGTAAAGAGAAGGTACAGAAAATCACTTTTTGTAGTCAAGGATTTGAGACTGTCAATTATTGTTCTTTTTGATAAAGGCTTGTTGGAAACTTCCTTCCTTTATGTATTCTTGCACTATGGGTTACTATATAATGACACCATTGAGCTAACCATTGAGCTATCCATTGAGCTAACCACCTCCCGGTTAGCTCAATGGATAGAGCACTGGACTGTAGTGCGGGAGGT